AGTGTCCGAGAATACTAAGCAATAGTAATAGCTAGGTCATAACTGTCTAACCTCAACCAATTCATGAAATTGCACGATCATCTTCCATTGTATTGAAGTAGATACTTGTCTCTACTCCACACGGATTAGCTCCACTGGTCACAACTTCTCACCAGAACTTCGAGAATTCCCTCATAGAGATTAATTAACTTAAACTACACTTTATTTATTCTCAAATATTCAATGAATAAATACAACAATTGAAAATAAAACACATTTGGAATAAGTTAAGAAATAAAGTAAAGCAAATTAACAATATAATACTACATTATTGTAAAGTTTACAAAATACATAATGATTCATTTATTTATGTAAAATGTTTTTTTTGTTTTCTTTTTACAAATTGAAATTGACAAGATAACTTAAAAGTAAATTATATTTGTGACAGTAGTTACCATAGTAACAGTTATTAATAATAATAATAATAATAATATCTTGCAAACATATACACTTGGTAACAACTAATCATTTAAAATATGATTTTTCCTAGAATTATTATTATTATTACATAGAAATTGAATGTGATCTAATTAAAACAAACATTTTGTTTTGTTTGTTTTTTGAAAAAAAGCTTCTTATAAATTACTTAACGTTAAAATAAATGACATTTAACATAAATTAGAAAATGACATTCTTTTGTCAGAAGGAGGCAAAAGAAGTTCTTTTTTTTCTCAATATATAAATGTTATAACTTATGGCCTATGTGCCCTGTTAATGTATAACGTCGTAATGATACCGCCAATTAGAAAGCAGTGAATTATCGATTGGACCAATGATGCATAAAATCCGTACGAGTAGTCTAGAAGTCCTTATTTATTAATCCTGCTTCTTGCCTAACCTAGCCACTTAAGTCCAGAATACCAATCTCAGCCTCTGCAAAATGAAATAGTTTATTTCAAACATACGGAGTTTATATACCAATCAAACAGACCACATCGTACCATAAAATAGGAAACAACACTTGTACAAGATTTGGCCAAATGTGGTTGTGAATGTGGGAGGCAGTAATTAATAGACAGGGCATAATTCAAGAATGGTAAATCGTATAATAATAGTTCATAGGTCAAAATAAAGCTCATAATAAGAGGGACATGAATATGTATAGTTTGGTTATTTAAAAAATATACGATAAAAAATATACGCATAGTATTGGTCCATAAATGGATCCCAAAAGTTACCATTCATTATTCTCATCGGGATATAACAATCAACATTTATTTTTATTGGTTCATGTTAATGTATTGACCAACTTTTGGTGATTTCTAAAAGAAATCTATGTATGAATTCACAATGTAGACAATTGACTTCCAACTTGGTGATCTAGATTAATGACGTCTTTATATAGCCTGAATGTTTTAGTTTGTTGCAAGAAAAGATCATGAATCAATAAGTAAAGACCTCCATATGAAGATGAAACAATCGTCCAAAGATCCTTTGTTGTTAACAGTTGTATAACTAGTCAGTCATTGATGTAAACTGTATTTTGCTTGGTATTAGTAAAATACTTGTTAGAAAGCTATTTCGTTATGCAATGACGATCTTTAGAACTCTCATATTGGCAAGTAAATATCTCAATCTTCGGATTATTAAGTTGGATCTTTATCGTCTACATTCCGAACCTTAGAAAGTAATCCACAAAGACTGACTTCGTACTAACTACCATTAGATAACGAATAACGTTGTAAAAAAGACCGTCTGTAAAACCTTTAGTTGATAGTAGAGAGTATATCATTGAGTGTAAATAATATAATATGAAGGACAAACACTCAGAACTTGTTCGACATGTATATCTACCTGTTTACTGCATCATTGTGCAGTACAGATGTTTAGAAGCATTGGAGTTTAGAAAATGCTTTCCATAAACGACTTTGTTAAACCAAAGTCGTAAGTATGCATAAAAAGAGATTTATCGTAGTAATCCTTCATTTGTTTTCTTCTTTTAGGATAGAATAGAACAGCGGGATCGCCCCTCAGCTTGGAGTGGTTGTGATCCAATATTACTTCCGTTTCTCATTCAGACTTATAATTTCTCAGTATAACGTTCGTTTTATTTTCAGTGATATTTTGTTTAGTATAAGAATGATTTTAATTTCAATATGATAATGACTAAAGACACTAGTTTTTGGATTGAATTAATGTGAACTTAGTTCAGTATGACACACAGCATGGACTCTTTGTAGTAATTCTATGTAGTACCCGATTTGTAGTTTCCTTTTATGAGATACTTCTTAACCAAACATCAAGTGTAAAATTGATATAAAAAGAATGTTTTTGACTAAAGTAGTTGATGTATTTCAGATTGTGAAATAAATCTGCCTCTGTAATCAGTTGTTGTCTTTTTATTTGCAGTGTATATCACATTGGTTCTCTGATCAAATTAATCAATCGTTTAGAAATAATGTTGGTTTTCCTGCTACAAATATTCAGCCAGCATTAACGTAGAGCCTGGCATAGACGTGCATTAAGCCAATTTACCATACTGTGTTAGTAAGACGACATGAAATTAACAAGATGTATAACGAGAGAGATTGAAATAATGTGGTAGAAACTATAATGAGGAAAACTAAGCATTGAGGATAGAGTTCTAAAAAACACAGTAGAAAGAAGTATGTATGAAGGAATACCGGAGTTAACTATCGATAGAAAGATAGAGAGTGAATATATCTGCATCATGGTAAACGATTGAGCCATGTCACTCAGTCTCCAATCATTGATCGCTGTTATTGAACAATTATTCAGTAGTCCTCGCGGTTACAACATATGTCAAGATATAAACTTTTTAACTAAACCAGAATTATCTAACACTACACCACTTATTCTACCTCTGTAAAGTTGACATTTCCATCTTCTAAATCAAAAAAATGTTAGATCCCAAAACCAGGCTTATTCTCTAGTTTCACTAAACAATGTCAGTTTCTACAGATAAAAAGAAGAATAAATATTACAGACTTGAATGCAGCACCTTAGCACAGTTAGCAATGCTAGTTTAGTAATAGCAGTTGTCTTCTGAAAATCAAACGAGTTACACAATCATTGGACATACTAGAGCCCTAAACATTAGCAAAGGCTGTTTACTTGCCATGGTAAAGATATGGCATCTATCACTTCAAAATGAACATAAAGTTGTGGTGATGACACTTTCTCGAAGTATCTATGACTTTCATGTACTACTTATTAGTGACAACAATATATATCTTACGATTCAAGTGGTCGATGGGGACTTATTGGTCACAGGTCAGATAACGCGAACCGTCTACTGCAACTGTGCACAAACCACAACCTGTTTCTGGCTAGCACTAACTTCCGGCACAGTCATCGCCGATGTGCCACTTGACGTCATCCCTCTGCATCTCAAGCCTGAACTCAAATTGATCACATCACGATCAGCTACCGCTAGCGTGGTTGTGTACAAGACTGCCGCTCCTTTTGGAGTACCTATATGAACTCTGGTCATGCCCTTGTTTGCGCTAATCTAACCTTACTTTTCATTGGCTAACAAATTTATCGTCCTAAACGGATCGATGTCAGTAAATTAGTTGCAGCTCCTGTTGCAAATAAATATAAAACCGAGCTGGGTTCAAAGCTAGCTAACATCCCACCGAAAAGTATAGATGGGCATTGGTTGCAATTGCATGACGCAACGAAAATGACGAGCAAAGTTGCTCACTGCTTCGCGAAACGTCCCGCCTATAAGCACTGGGTTTCTTCTAGCTCCTTACAACTCAGTGAAGTCCGTCGGTCTACTCAGGGTGACCGCGAGTTTGAACACAAACGACGATCGTTACACAATGAAAGGGCAAGGCTTGTGTAAGGACCGTGAGGCCCGGTAGTCGAGGCGTGCCAATGAGTTAGAAGCGGCAGCTGCATTTGGTAACTGCCGGAAGCTCTTTCAACTCATCCGAGCCATTAACATACCCCCAAATGCCCTGATACGGTCAAGAGTGGGGAGGGGCCCCCTACCGAAATGCTCTCACATGGATATTAGACTATTCTGTGTTTGATCATCGGTTTCCAAAGGATTACTGACACCCACAGGCAGCACCATGTTAGTAATGCAGAGGTTCAGCATCGTGTGTTCGGGCACAGCGACGATAATTCGATTGGTGTCACTATCTTGAAACATTGAATTCGGTGGTTTGAATGCCGTCCCAGAGAATTCCTCTTCGTGCATTATTTGCAGACGCTGGGACTGGTTGAAAAAAGCGGAGAAGTGGTCAGTTTATGAGATGATCTCGTGGTATGGAGGAAAGCCATAAATACTGGCTTCTGCTGGTCCTTCAAGACCCCCTAGCTGGGGTCCTACAGATGGTGCAACATTGGCTATTGACGTTATCAGGTGACGCTCAAAATAGTAACCAGTGGCGATTCTGCTGTAACGTTATTTTATTTTCTTCGTAAAAAAGGACATAACATTTGTAACTGGAAGAACTGAACTGTCTCTTCCATTATTATTATTTCACTATCATACACTAATGTCTGTTCGTTACTCTTCTCCTTTTTCCTATACACACCTTACATTCTCTATCTCTTCACATTCTCATTATTATTGTGTGATGCATATGTATCTGGTGCCTCTTTTTACCAATATTTATGTGTTCAAATAAATAAATCAATCAAAAAACTGAATCCAGGAGACTGATTCGTGCTCCTAACTAAATCTCTGCTGATAACAACAGAATAAAAATAAATAATTTAGGACGATGAGATGGTCCTAGTGAAGTTGACCGACTGAGCAAAACGATATTGCATTATCAGTCTGTCTCCACTAAGTCAATTTTACATTCTACTAAACTTAATGTTTTGAATTTCTGTTTGATGAACATGTCAGATATGCAGTTAAGTAGTCCAAAATTTTGAAATCGTTCGCTATAAAACGCAGTCATTTACGGATGACATCTCGAAGCAGTTTTAAATCAATGAGGTATTTAGGACATGTATGGAATATTAAAAGAAATATAGATCTTAAAGTAACAAGTATCTTTCACTTCACATACACGGGATTTCTGTATGCTATCAGGTGATACTAGCTAAAGTGAGGAAATAAAATCCTCAGAAAAATCACCCAAAAATGTTTACAGCAAATCAGTCCTACATAACCCGACATCATTATGCTCCCAACTTCCTTAACTTTACATTTCAACAAGGTAAAAAGGAATGGATTAATCGAAAGACAAAATTTTGCAGGACAAGCATTTTCATTTTATCGTTATGAATATATAAATAAATAATATGTACAAATGCAATGTTTCATTTTGTCGCCATCTAAACAGAATAAGATTGATGAAAAAATGGTCGCTTACTCTGAACTGCTCCTCTATATTCGAAATCTCACTGATGAGATCTTTCAGAGCAGAAACAAAAACATCTACAGGTGTCGCTGGATGAGCTGTATGTACTCGAATGACGATTTTATGCTCTAATGGATGAGGAGCCTTGTATCCTGCAAATAATACTCTTGGATCTTTTAGTAACTGACTAAATTAGGAAAACAGAAAAAAGGACAGGTAAGTTTGAAAGAATGCTTAATTCAAGAAAAAGATAATTCCGGAATATCCACCTTAACTAGTGGGAGACAGTAGAAACTAAAGAGTAGAATAGCAACCTTTTGTTATGGGCAGTAACACTAGCATCTCAATAGAAACAACAGAGCGATAGGTAGAATGATGGAAGTTACATTATTTTTAGCAGCAAAGTAAAAGTTACTTGAGACGTAGTCAGATATGGTTTTAAACAGAAGTTGGTGGAGATTCTACTATCATTTTCATCACCGTTTTCATAACAGCTCAAAGTTAACAGTTATCTTGAAGGTGTAGTTGGACTGTACTAGCTTGATGATAACCCTATAGGAACTTCTAGCTTGTTTACTTACACATAAATTAAAATGGGTCTCCAGCCTATCAACCATTATCAGTAATTACTTCTCCCAAATATGTTGTTTCACTCGATTGAATAAGAATGTACTAACTATTGATTCACAAAACCGAGTAAAAAAATGTCATACTGCCTGGATTTAAAGATAGTATGGGATGGTGAATTATGTATAGTACTATATAAAGAAAAACAGATATGTCAAAAAACACCGTGTAACGAAAATCAGTTTAAGTTGCCAGGCCTCTCAACGAGAAGAGAAGACAGGAAGATATTAAAATGAACAGATAGGGAAGAACCACATTGACAGTTTACTCTATGACACTTAACACCAATTAGTGACCTTATTTAGTAGTAGCATGTTTTAGCGTGGTGACTGTCGACATATTTGATACAAGTCCAAAACCTAATCGATGAAACAACTTATCTCCTCTGCGATTGTGAGTATTACGTAGATAATAATTTTCATAAAACATACCTTTACACAAAAGTAATGTTGTTGAAACTCAGTAATCAAATGCGAATCCACATGTTCAACTCTAAACTATACTCTGTATGATGAATAGTAAGTATATCTGAATGCCAGAACGGGGCTAAGAGGAACGAAATTTGAACATGCAATTCAGTAACCGGGAGTTGGTCGACTTAATCACTAACTTCTTATACTACCGATGGTTTATATTCCACTTACGGTGAAAAAGACCCACTAAAATTAGCCGAATACCTGGCGAAAGCAATTATTTCTACAAACCACTTTTAAGAAAGGCAGCAAAACGGAAATGAGCCCGAATTACGTGAAAACATTAGAGAAATTCCAATCTGCCTGGTAGACAATAAGATCAAAACATTTGTATGATACTTACGCTTGGACTCAAATACTTACAGATAAAGTTGAACAAAGGAATTACTTATAACAAGAATATCAGCAAGTTCTGACTACTAAAATGAATTAAATAAACATATCTTAAAAAATTCATGGGTGTAGAAACGAAATAACCACGAAATTATTTGGATCGGGTAATTGGTACTTCACAGCCCATACCACCAACGTTTAGTTTATTATGCATTCACTACCGAAGCTTGGAATTTTATGAATAATAACATGACTAAGTAGCTATCTTTACATACCACACTTAACCGTATTCCGGAAAATAAAGTTCAGCTAACTGCATTGAAAACGCTACCTAGATCGAATAATCAATAAACTTCCTGCAACACATAGTAGTCATTTTAAAAAGCATATATGTACTCAATATACTATTAAAAAACGCACCATGTTATCATATTTCCAACAGTGTGGTCCTCTCGATTTAGGGTAAAAATAGCAGCATTTGGAACCTGAGTATCCTTTTCGAAGGAGATCCTGAAAGTTTAATAATCAGTGTCAAAGACCCACTTCTTCTCACCATCGGCAAGCAGGAATGGTTCGAACGAAGCAGGAGCATTCATAGTAACTCACAACTTCGTAAGCGTGGGTAAAGGTACGACCTCCAAACTTTAACTTTTGACTTGGCCTAGGAGGATGTGCACAGTTTGTTCCTTTGAATCTTTTTCTAGGCAGCGTGAATGAGTTCTTGGTTAAAGAAAGATTTTATTCTTGTTACATTCCCGCTAATAACCGGAGGTAAAAAAAATTTACTCTGTCCTATGGCATACTAAGAGGAGATCTAATTTTGATGTACAGAATACTGAGAGATGATTTCGGACCTAACTTATTCTCTCTTTTTCTTCCCACTGGATAGGGACATCTCAGATGACATAGCAGGCGAGTAGAAAAGCCAAGAACGAACAAAATACCCGTGGCATACAGGTTTTCACACCGAGTCATCCATACTTGGAACTTGTTAACCGAAGCAGTGATGTACACACCTTCAGTTGACTCATTCAAAAGAAGACTGGACACTCACAGAAGCATACTTGAAAAGGAATAACATATGCCGTATGCCTGTAGTGCCATTGGGCCCCAACCACACAATCCTCAAAGCTGAACATGAGACAACTGGGAAAACAGATGTTCATAGAATGATCGGTGTGAATAGCTGCATCTGTCTCATCGATGAACGCCTTGAAGGGCTTACTTGACCGTCAGTGGAAAACAGTCCTCAAAGAACCAAGTAGATTGACGGTGACACTAATTATGCTACTGTGGATTGACAATGGAACAGTTCATATTCACTTTTGTGTTTATTTATTCTTAACTTCTAATTGTTTTAATGCAGCATCTTTTCGGTAAACTGATTGCAAGACTAGATGAAGCTTTTCAGTGAACTTTTTTCGGTAGGTAATTGTGAAAAGCAAAATACTGAATGCGGTGATAGTTTTTTGTTGATTATTCTTGTCATACAATTATGTGACATCCTAAACTACACAAGTTTTGTAGTTTCAATCACATCCATTGTTGAACTGTAGTTGCCCACGCTGATATGGCTGCCTACCAACTAGCAAAAACTTGATGAGTTGAAGTTTCTAAGGTGCTCTCATTGCGAGAAAATACGGAACCGGAATGAGTGGTAGAAATACGAGTCTTGATTTATTATTTATAGATATTAGTGATTTCCTCAATTTGATCCCTTCCCTGCTAAATTGCTAGCTAATGATTTCTGAGACGACTATTTTCATTTTTTAATAACTTTGGTCAACAATCGCTGTTGTGTTTTCCTATGCGCTGGACTAATCTGCTTGAGGTTTTCGATTCCCGTAATCAAAGGGGTTCCGAGGCGCTTAAACTCATATTATTATGTTGACTCAAATGATATCCGACCTGAAGACCAATCGAAATGTTAGAACTTTCTCTGCTCTTGCTTGAAGCTCATTTCAAGTATTTCATAGTCGAGGTTAAACTATGTTCTGACTTGAAAAACAGGATGGTTGTACTCCTACATTAATGAGTGACAAAAAGGAACCGCCTAACTGTCGACTGGTTTCATCATTCTACAATGTGATAGAGCTTACTGGAAAGTTTATCAATAAGTCTCTCTGTGACCGTCCCTTCATCATATAATTTTCTCTCAATTGCAACTTCATTTTCTGCCTGGTAGGACAGACCTGTTGACTACATGGAGTGGCTGGACCACTTCACTGAAACCCGACTATCTGATGCATGTTGGCATTCTCTAAAAAACTGTACTTAGTTGGATTGATATTTTATAAGATATGAATGTAGTTGGTTTTGGTAAGAATCGTATTGTCAGTATCATAATTGGGGCGCTTTATGAAGGATGCGTTGCGACGTGCAACTGATTGTGGAGAATAGATCCATGTGAAGTTGTGGGCTTCTAGAAACCACAACCTTATATCCCTTTGGAATATCTGAGGCTTTGAAGGCGGTGCAGGACGAAGTCACCCGTTCCATATATGTTTTCAGTGGCATACCTCAAGGGAACTGAAAAATAGTATAAGAAAAAGAAAGGATAAGAAGTAGGGCAGACAATGTTCATGGAGGAATAGTCAATGTATGACTACTCAGTCTAATTCTCTTTTATAAAGATACGTATTATTCAAGAGCATTCTAATTTGTTAAAGAAAATAAGTGTAAACAATGTACGAATGGATAGCCAACTGCTTACTATTATTACTCACCAAACTCTACTGGTTAATGATAATAGAAGTTCTGAACACATATTGATCGATAACCATTGTTTTTTGGCAACAAAAATGTTAACCTGAATATATATTACGGAGAGTTGTAAAAACCAAATTGTATGACCACTGATGGATTATGGTTAGCAGTGGAATCTAGGATGCACATCTTCTTCCACTTGGGACTCGTCAGCCGGATGTGTCTGCATTCCTGAATTGATGTTCGGACCCGATCCGAACCCGTTCGCTTCAAACGCCATAGCATTACCCACCAAGCTGCTGAGTGCAGATAGCCTCTAGCTTGTGCATTTGACTAAAATTTTAATTTATTTTTGTACCAGCCGTTTGAAAATTTTCATTGATGTTTACGACTGCAATCGGTCTGCTTCAGATTTTTGGAGTGAACATCAACCCAGGGACGCAGGTACATTCACCTGACGAGTCAAAATGAGCGCCTTGGGTTTCACTGTCAGCCACCACAATCTCTCCTCGTAGTGCTTGTGACTTAAGGCACTATTGAGGCAGTTTACATTGGATGCCTATATGTCGATAAGAGACTGATTAATTTCAGTCCCAAGTATCAATGAGAAGATTCAAACAACCGATGCGAAAATGAATAAGATTTTCTGGTATTCTAACTCATAGCGTTTGGTTTTCGATTAGCCTAAATTATTATCATTCGAGACATGTTATATCTGCTCGTCTATGGAAAAATGTATTCTCTACAGTACGTTCACACAAATTAAGCCAATAATACCTAGGTCACATAATATCAATGTCATAATAGTGTGATTGAAGAGATCTATATATTGCTTGATTGGTACCTTGACAGTTGGCAAGATTATTACACCTAGCATCATACGAGTTCTGTACAGAAATTATGAAAAATTACCGTAGGAAATCGGAGGACTGAGAAGAGAAAAAAACTAGTTTGTTTGGAAAAATCATGTACTGTCACGTAAATCCGAACAGTTGATATGTCCTGTTACAGCGCAGATGTACTACTCTTTATCGTACCCAACATATATACTTGGCAAATGTCAACCACTAGTTGTTATAGAGGAATATATACGTATAATATACAGATATATAATAACGCTCCTGAATAATACACTTTGGCTGGATAGCGAGCAACATATTCAATGCAAAAAAACAATAAGTTACGTAGAGATACCACGCCTACATGGCCGAAGTGTGCCATTTCAAATGATTCTCTCCGCGTTCACCATTCTTGACCTCTATCATGTGTTACATGTTGAATGTCAACCGTCCTATTAACTATATGTTCAACTTAGAGAATCGTGTGGTTAGGAACTAATACCATCACAATGTATTTGAATTTTTCAGCCGTTCCTGTTAAACTCAATCTTGACTTGTTATGGTCGATCTTCAACATGTCATGTTTTGTCTATTTATTTTAATTGTATATAGATTTGATATGACTTTCGGTCCAAAGTTATTCCATAATCTTTTTATCCCTGAATAACAGTTACATTTCGCCTGCAAACGGTAGATTTTGAAGGTTGACACACAATTTCTGTCGACTTTCCTCAATGGAGGTTTTGTACAAGCATGAACGTCTGGCAATTACAAGTAGATTTCACCTTATATAACACTAAATTAAAGGGTTAGTTGATAGTTACTATCTCACTTAATAACCACACACCTTATCTCAAATTCCCCCTCTACAAACACTGTCACCGATCCGACTACACATCCAGTAGACCCTTAACAATGTCTGCATACTACTGCCTAACATTTAGTCAAACGAGTAGTCTATGCAATCAGCTTGCAATAGTGTTATTTAATTTTCTTCAAAGCGAATATCACCAGTTTTTCCTAAGCCAGTAGGTTGGACACTGTCCGTGGTTTGGTCGCACAAGGATCTTGAGGTGACAATAAAGGGATTTATGCTGTTCACAAATTGTATATATAAACACATTCAAATGTTTCACCGCATGTCTAAGAAATCTCTTGGGGTGTTTACTTATCCATGGTGGATAGTGATTAGGTCTACGTGATACTAAGCGTAGTACAGGTGGGCACTTAGCTGAGCTAAACGTACTTTTAAATGTGGACCATGACTTCAGTTGATGAGCTAGTACTTATTAACCAGTCTGTTGAACCACACTCCTGTGTGGTTATAATGTTTTCCCCCTTCACATTTTTTCGAGATTGAGGTATGTATTTTATTATCGCAAAACTTTTTTAATGTAAGTATACAGGACTCAGTTTGGCAAAAGTTACATATATGGATGCAACAACCAGATTATTGTTCAAAGTTCATTCTTGCATTAAATTTGACGGGCTAAAAGCGTCAATAAGTCATATAGTAAGATTCATTATATGTATTAAAATTTTATCAACTATTGTTATGTTGCTTTATTATCATAAATCGTTTCTTTGCTATGTACTTTTTTCATTGGCTAGAAAGTAGTCTAAGGTCGAATATATACTTTCAATTCAAACTTTACTGAGCAAGTAGTAGTAGACTGTTAGTTATATGGGATCTATGTTTTAAAAAAATGTCGCTTGATCACAAAGAAGTTTAACTCATTTTTGTTCCTTGATGAGTCTGAACTAATGAAACATTGGTTAATAATGAAGGTGGTATAGTAAAACACCTAGTCTCCATCGGTACCACTACATCTAAAGTGAATGTTGTGTTTTCTTTTGGGCTAACCAACTGAAGGTACTGTCAATGTATCTTCTAGAAGAGGATTCCATATCTTTTGCATTAGTAAATGAATATTGGAACCTCAGCTTTATAATCTCAAACTTGGATAACTGTAAACATTAAGTTGCTATACAGTATCTGTTCGCTGAACAATACATTTAATAAATAAACTAGCGTAGTGTTGGTCTATACTTTAATACACAGGTTTTTGTTCCGTTTTAAACAAAAGTTCT